CAGTGCCAAGTGCCTGATGGGCATTCAATAAATCCATTATAGGAATATGCTTGACTTCCTTACAGATTATAGACTTCTCAATTGCCAAGAGGCCCCATAGGCTACATCTCTGCAGCATCTAGCAGAATTATATCCAATCTGTCAGTCAAGCACTGTTATGCTGTTTGCAAAATACAATGCTAACTCTGATCAAAGAATTTACAACCTTTTTCTCCATTCTATTCCATTTGCCCTGAGGAAACTTCTACCCTTCACACACCACAATAGTCCTTTGTGCGTTCAGTTGCTGGGCTCTGCTTTAGGCCAAAACAATGGACTTTCTGTTTCACTAGACTGTGAGCTCCCTGAGGCCAGTGTCTCTTCAGCCAAGGCCAAGGACCGTAGTAAACACTCACTAAATAGTTCTTGATGGTTTCATAAATACAACTTTTTTTCCGAGGTCTTATGTTTACGTAAGAATTGTTTAAAAGAAAAAAGATAAGATACAGTTCCTAGTTTGAGGAACTCTGGCTTGGCTGTGTCAATATCATTGAGCTTTGTTCATCTGAAGAAAACAGACCTTTTACTGGCAAAGAATAAAGCGCCTAAGAGTGAAGGTAAAGGAAACAATTATTTCATGTTACAATAAGGTCCTAAAGCACACTCTAGAAGTTTCTAGGTAGGAGCTCTTTCCTGCAAGTAACCCCTTTTCATTTCAGTTGGGGAAATAGTTTATTATAGCAGATTAATTACTTTCATGGACTCTTCTCATTATAAAGCTTTAACTTACGGAAGACCCTGGTTAACCAGACAAGGACAAAAGCAACATTGACTCTGGTGAAGTCACCTGTGGAAAAATAGGTATCTTCCACTTTTCAACAGTGGAAGATAGGTATCTTCCACTTTTCAATATACCCCAGGCAGGCATGTCAAGGTTTTGTTCATGTATGTAAAAAGGCCAGGTGACTTGTTTTTTTTTTTTTAAGAACATACCAGGCTGAGTTGGTACTGTGTAGCCTAATGGCCTTAAACTCAAAGTAATCCTCCTGCCCCAACCTTGTTTGTTTAATAATTTTTAAAGCAATTAACTAAATATTAGCATAAGTTAGAGGCATATTTTATACATGCAATTGTGTACTTATTTACAATTAACTCATAGATTTTTTATTATTATTTATTAATGTGGTGTGTGTGTGTGTGTGTATGTGTGTGTGTGTATGTGTGTGATGGGTGTGTACAAGTCACAGCACTCATTTGGTCAGAGGACAACTTTCAGAAGTCAGTTCTCTTCTTCTCCCTTGGGTTTCAGAGATCAAATTCAAGGTGTCAGTTTTGGGTGGCAAGCACCTACTGAACCACCGATGGCTCATAACTAAGATTTTTTTTAAAAGTCATGTTTAAATTATGTTATGAAAGAACAACAAAACAAAAATCAAAAGAATACCTAACTGCAGTTATTGTTGAGATTTTCAACAATTGGAGTAATCTTAAGATTGTATCCAGCTACTTCATATTGCTAAGTATTGTGATTTAAGTGACTCAAACTCCTTTTTAAATAATATGTGTGATAAGTAACAGATCTCTCTGAGGCCTGAAATATTTTCCTGTTGCTATCATCTGAGCAAATATCATGTACCAGGTGGTAATTATTTTTCCCAGTGCCGGAGACTGTCAATGCAGGATCTCATAATGCTCTAAGCCACAGCCCCGAGATTATATTCATTATTTCTAATCTTTTTAACAAATATTAACTCAGCACCTACGGTATGGATACATCTATGGACCAGATACTAGTTCTTCTTCCCAAGAGATTACAAAGCTATAAAAGGTACCTCTGTAGGATGGGAAATGTGACCTTTATTTTACAGATAAAGAAATCAGGATGGAGGAGGCCTAATGGAGACGTGGCTGTCATCAATGCTCTTTCTAACAAACTGCTGCTTTTCTCCATTCATCCTACTTGGTTTAACTTACTCATCTTACTTCATGAAATACAACAGTTGTGAAAACAGATTGAAGGATCCTTTAGTGGGAAGGCTAAAGGTCTCGCTTCAAAGTCACGGCTCTCAAATCTTCTAATATAAAAAGCAAATGTTACTACTCCAGTTGTTTAGGATTAAACACTGGCTTAAGGCAAAGGGAGATGAAATAAGGCCTAGACACCCACATTTCTAGGAGTAGAAAAGCAGAAGGTTCATAAGCCTCTGAGATATGCAAAAGCTTAAGGGTTTTGTTGTTTTTCTTTCCGGCTCTACCTCCCATTGTCACAGGAAGGGTGGCAAACAGTAGGGGACCCAAGGAGCTTCTCTGGAGCTTCTGTGAGAGCTGGAACCTGGAGACCACAGCTTTGTCAGGCCTTGTCTTCAGCATGCACCTCTGCTTCCTCTGGCTCTGCCTGCATGGGAGCTCTAACTGCATTCTGCAGTTAATATTGGGTGCAGTTCCGAGCAGACACAGAAAGGCATCTGCTGCAGCCTTTCTTTCGCTTCCTTCTCTGCCATTTCTTCCATCTCACCTAACCAGATCCCTCACAGTGGAAAAACAGCTGAAGGCACCATGCCCTAGGAAGAACCTCAGGGCATCACCAAACTTGTCTTTCGTCATGTTCTACACAAATGCATTGCCTTACACTAGTACCTACTAGTACAGTCAGCCATTCACACAATTAACTATCCCTTACAGCCCCATGGTATCTTCCTACAACACAGATCATAGGTCACTTCCTTCTGCAGACTGAAGGCCTCTGCAGACTGTGGCCAATTTACAGAGGGAAGCTCAAATACGTAAGGATGCTACAAGAATGCCTGCCAAGAGTTTGAACCTACCCCCCACCTACTCTTTCCAACCCTCCCTCCCTTATCTTTCTGCACCAGAGGCACTTTGCAGAGTCAGTCTCTATGCAGGCTGTGATCTTTCAGGCCTCCACACCTTTGCACAAACTGCTGCAGCTGTTAGCAACATCCCTTTCCTCTCTCTGGCTAGAGAAATTAAGCTCACTTAGGACCCTAATAAAATGATTTCTCCTTCACAAAAGCTTCGCACATCTTTCAAGCAGCCTTGGTTGTCCGCCTCTCTGTTTCCACATTCTGCATAATTTTTTTGTAGCATTAAAATAACTAATTGTAGTTATTTAGACTTTGCAAGGTGAAGCTCTAAACATTCCTTTTCCCCTTACCCAAGCCATCTAAAATCACCCATTTTTCTGCCTGGTGTAAAGCAAGGCTTCAATACAATGTCTGTTAATAGAGTCAATGCTGTAAAACACAAACCACACATTGAGAAATGATGCAATTATTCCATACCAGTTTATTTTAGATATTGTGCTTCAAAAACTTCATCATAAATAACCTTTCATGTCATAAAATAACTTAGTACGATTTATAATAAAACTTCTGAGAATTTAACATCTCATCAAAATACATTAACCTGTGGCTTTAAAATACAATTAATCCTTTTCACTTTCCTTTTACTTGAGGGCATAAAGACTGGAAAAACAAAAACAAAAACAAAACAAAAAAAACCCAAACTATTGCTACACATTTAAGGTTCCAACAAAGCGATATTTGGCTTATTTCAATGTAATTCGGCCATCCAAAATTAAGTTTTGTTTCTTGCACAGTTCTTTGTAGTTTTTGTCTCTTTTGACTTAGATTTCTGTTTCCACACAGCTTCCTTCTTTATTTTCACCTCTCTCCATGGGCAGAGTCACCTCCTAGCCCCCATGTAGTTGAACTCACTCAGCCCCTTGACAACAGTTTCTGTAATCCTTGCATCAGCGTAGGGAGTAACTGCTTGAGTAACTACAAAGGTATTTCAAAACTTCAGTGCAATTTGGTTCAGTTATTTCCATTCAGATGCCATCACCGTTCGGGGAGATTAATCACTGGAACCCACTGATCCATGTAGCGACTTTCCCGGCAAAAGCAAATAAGTTGACTTAAGGCAGGATCCTTCCATTGTGATGAATGTGGGTTCTGAGGACAAATTTAGAAAAATTACTTCCCCATAAAATGATCAGCTTATGCTACCAATTGGACAACTTTTGAAAGGGCCAAAACCTGAACATTCTGTTAAACAGCACTTGGCAAAGTCTAAACACCTGTAATGCACACGGAGCCACACAGAGCTTTGCGTAATTATCTGTACCATTGTGCATGAGGTTATCATTCATAAGTCCGCCCTACCAAGCATGTACCCTAATGGGGTCATAAGGAAAATAGTTCTGAAAAAACATTCTGTGCGCACAACGATGTGCGAGCTGCAGGGCAGGCAGCTAACACCAGTTCTTATCTTCCCTGACGATGCATGGCACTTCTTCACTGGCAGCAAAAGTAATCAGGCTGCCACTTCCCTACACCAGTCAAAACAAGAGAAGGGGCAAAAACAAAAAACAAGACCAAGACAGCACATTTCTCTCTGAAAATACTATCCATCCATGAGAGACTTTTAAAGGGGGTGGGTGGGTGGGTGGAGAGGGCCCATCTAAAACAAACACAAATGTGCAGAGAAAAGAATTCCACTCTGTACACTTCAGAGTATCTCCAGGGAATTAATAAGGCTTTGTCTCCTACACTATTTCTATCTTTAGCTTTGACAGCAAATGAAGAATGAAGCTGACTTCTTAATGAAGGGTGAGCCGGGAATTTATTTGGCTTTATCTAATCTGTCCTGCTCAGAGAATTAGTCACGCGAGGTAGTGCAGAGGTAGGCAGGGGTGGCTGGGCAGCCTGCTGACTCACAGGGATATCTCCTGCCGCTGGAGGCCACCCACGAGCTTAGACACGCTCGGTACCATCAGAACCCCCGCGAGATCAGCGTCCAGCACGGCCGAGGTCCACCCCAGCAGATTCCGGGGGCTGCAAACCCGGGTCCCTTACCGTCACCAGCACGCAGTGCAGGTCAGGGGGCTGCGCGGCGCCCCCGCTCTCCGCCGGGCCCGCATCGGTCTCCAGCAGCAGCAGCTCAGCTAGCCGGCCGGGGTTGCTGACCCGCAGGATGTTGATGTCGTTCTCGCAGCAGAACGCCTGGATGAGGGTGAAATGGATCTGCAGGGCCACGTCCCTGTCGTCGTCCTCGTCCGCAGCCAGCAGGCACAGTACCACGTTGTCGGGGTCACTGCGGACAGCAAGGGCAGCGGTGAGTGCACACGCTCCCGGGGAGCACCGGGTAGAGGCAGGCAGGCAGGCAGGCAGGCAGGAGGGCAGGCGGGAGGCGGGGGCGGCCGGGGCCACTTACACATTGAGCAGCTTGGCGGCCTCGTACACGCCGACGGTGATGGTGCGCTGACTCCGCGCCTTGCTGAGCACTTCCTCCAGGGCATCTCCCACCGTGTCCATCCTGCGGACGGGCAGGGCGAGAGCGGGTCAGCCGGGTTCCCCGGGGTGGCGGGAGGGGCAGCGGCCACCGAGATCGCAGGCACACCACACTTACCTTTCGGTCTTCTGCTCTGCAGCCGAGAATTCCTCCAAAGTCATATTGCAAGTGCGAGTCCCTTCACGCGGCGCGCGGGCTGCTCCTGCCCCCCCCAGTGCGCGGCGCCCTGGCTCAGCGCTCGATCCCACCCGCCCGCCGGTCGCCGAAGTCTCGGTAAGTGACGACGGCACAGCTGCCTCCGGGCCACTGGAGGACAAAGGGCCCGATGCCCGAGTTATGGGGGCCAGCCCTCAGCCAACCACGGCCGGCCTCATTTGCATGCAGCGCAGCCATTGGCGCATGCAAATGAGCAGACTTTGACCCTCCCACCCTCGCTCCACCGAGGCAGTCGAGCGGAAGGGGGCGGAGCTACGCGGGAGGGAAGCCCCCCCGGGGATGAGAGTGATGCAGAAACCGGGTTGGTGGGGTCCCGAGCCAGCTCTATGAAGTTGGTGGAGCCATCTGGTGCCGAGGGCTTTGCAGTGAGTGGTTCAAGTATCCTCAGCTCGAACTGAAACAGCCTGCCAGTTGTTTTTCTAGTTGTGGGCATCTTTGGATTGTCGTTTCGTGTCGTTTGTGTTAAGGGGCTGCTTTTAAAACTTGTTTCCAGGGTTAATGCACCCCACCCCCACCCCCCCACCCACCCACCCCCGTCTAGCCGTTATTAGCAAGCAGATTACATTTACAAAGTGTCCAAATGTACCAGGCAAAGCTTGCTTCAGACGTGTTGTTTACATGTGTCAGGTAGTGCAGCTTATTCACAGTAGCATTCTTTTGGTGCCCTGATGGCTGGCTTAATTTATTTTTGGTTGGTTGCAAGAATTTGAAGCTCCAAAGAGAAAACCCAGCACCATTGGTGTGTGGTGATGGCATAGTACCAAGCTGGAATCTTTTCCACAAAAAGCTGGTAAAAATTTCTGCCCACTCCATGTAAGGTGGGGGGAGCTGGTGATCACATGCCTAGCGAGCCAAATTCACCATTAAAATCTTTCCCGAAAGCACCTTCCGATCAGGTAAGAGCTGAGAGACAAATTATGGTACTCGCAGGAACCACAGTCTAAATTCAAAGTGCTCGTGCCATTGCCCGAGCTTCCCTTCACAGGCAAAAGAGTGTATGACACTACCTTCCACTGCCTATGATCTCACTCTGAGTTATTGATGCTGAATCATAAAGCTGTAACCGTAGAACGTTTTAGCCATGTGCTAAAATTTCACCTTTGCGATAATGGCAACTTGTAGGTGGGAGGCAAACCTTCATAACTGCAAGCAGGAGTCACACATTAAAAACAATGTTTAATGCAGACTTCTACTGAGTAGTTCAAAAGTCCCTTTGTTTTATGAGCTTATTGGATAAATACAAAAGCATTGCCTGACCCTACCGAAGTAACCAAAAGTGGCGGAATTGCCTCCCATGTGCTTGCATTCATAACAGTGTTTATATTGAGGTCACTGGGCAGCTTACAATCACAGAAGTCAATTTTACAGGGGTACATGTGAGTTTAGTATCCTTAAGTTTTTATTCTTGTGGACAAGATATTTTCCAGTTTTCTTGATCTTGACAAAATGGAAAGTGGTGGGGTTGGTTTTCTAGTTTACTTAGTGGAGAAAAGAGTTTTCCATTCAGTCCCTAAGGGCTTCGTCACCGAGAGACAATGTTGAGTAAAGGAGTGAGTGTCAATGTATGGCTCACCCTAGGGTGTCTGTGTACCTCATAGCTGTACCTTAACTCTACATGGGATGTGCTTGTTAAAGAGTTTCTCAATGTTGGGCCTGGGAGTCCAGCTAAGTGGTCGAGCAGTAGCCTAGCATGCTCCAGTCCCAGGCCCGAAATTTGATCCCTGGCCCTGCAAAACAGCAACAGGGACAAAATTTCAACATTGAAGTTTAAGCTTCTATTGTGATGGTTAACAGTGATTGACACCTTAATGGGGATCTAGAATAATCACTAACGTAAGCCTCTGGGCATGTCTGTGATGGATTCTGTAGATTAGGTTAGTTGAAGTGGGAAAACCCACTCTTCAATGGACACCATTCCTCACTGCATGTAAAACGGAAAGCTAGCTGAGCATGGGCATTCTTGGCTCATTTCTGACTGGGGATGCCAGGTGAAGAGCCACTGCCAGCTCTTGCTGTCAAGCCTTCGATGGGCTGTCCCCGGGGACTATGAGCCACAATAAACCCTTCCTTCCTCAAGCTACCTCCATTGGGGATTTTATTCCAGCAACAAGTATCTAACACAGGAGAGCACTAAAGCATTTTTCAAGTTTGTAAAACTAAAATTACACGAAATGATCTGAGTCATCCTTTGGAGATAGGTGAACTGTGTTTCCTAGAACTCCAGAGTTCTACCCGTTAGAGATTTCTTAGAAGTTCTCTGGAAGGAATTGTGATTGTAAGCTGACAGAGAAATTAGAGGACAATGTGACAGCAGAGACTATGACTTCATCAGCATGGTGTCCTCATTGCATGGTGTCACCCAGCACAAGTCCTACATTCAATAGTAGAGTGGGTGTCATGAGTTGAACAGAATTGGAAAATTAATTCCAGCACCGCACAATCCCGCAGTCCTTGCATGAATTCTCAGATAACCCACCTTTAACATTACTTCAAAAATACAAACACTGAACAATTCCTGGTCTTTGACCTAATGATCTAATTGTTAAACACATTGTATTAGTCAGAGTTCTAGAGAGTAGCACAACTTCTAAAATGAATATGTGTGTGTGTGTACACATATATATGTTGGTTCCGGGGTTTCACAATAATGGAGGACCGACCACCAAAGTCTATTAAACCAGAAGCAAACTTTATTCCAGAAAAATAAAAAAAAAAATGAAACACCACGGAGTACAAAAGTTTGTCAGCTAGCTGAGACCACAGCCAGTGTTGGAATTCTGAGGCTGTGGCAATGGAGGTAGGTACTGGCCCGCTTTTGTAGTATCAGGCACAGGGTGCATGCTGGGAGTCACATAGAAGCATCAGGCATGGGATGCATGCTAGGAGTCACATAGAAGCATCAGGCATGGGATGCATGCTAGGAGTCACATAGAAGCATCAGGCATGGGATGCATGCTAGAAATCACGTAGAAACAACTATTAAAAGTTAACTTTGGTCCAGGCAGTTGTTAGCTATAAGGGGTTAAACGTTAACCCCTGGCTGGGCGGTGGTGGGCACGCCTTTAATCCCAGCACTCGGGAGGCAGAGCCAGGTGGATCTCTGTGAGTTCAAGGCCAGCCTGGGCTACCAAGTGAGTTCCAGGAAAGGCGCAAAGCTACACAGAGAAACCCTGTCTCGAAAAAAAAAAAAAAAAAAAAAAAAGTTAACCCCTGGCTGTTGACAGAGGAGCTGCTGTAAAGCAGAGGGCCATTGTTAGCAGTTAACCTGTAGAGCTGATGACTGTCAGTTTTCATCTCTTATAATTTATATTTCTATATTCCTGGACCCTTTATATATAAAGGGGATTTATTGGAATGACTTACAAGCAGGCTATGGTCCATCTAGTCCAACAATGTTATGAACAGAAAGCCCAAGAATACAGAAGTTGCTCGGTCCACAAGGCTGGATATCTCAGCTGGTCTTCAGTAGATGCTAGAGTCCCAAAGAAGTAGGTCCTAATGCCAGTGAAGGAATGGGCTTGCTAGGGAGGCTCAAGCAAGCAGGCAGAGAGCAAAAACTTCCTTTTTCCATGTCCTTATATAGACTTCCAGCACAGGGTGTGGCCCAGATTCAAGGTGTGTCTTCCTGCCTCCAAGACCTACATTAAAGGTGTGTGTCTTGCACTTCAAGATCCAGATTAAAGGCATGTGTCTTCCTGCCTCAGGATGTGCATTAGAAGTGGATCTTCTTACTTCAAATTAAGAAAAAAAAAAATCCCTCACTGGTGTGCCTTCCATTTTTGAAGTTTAGATGATTCCACCAAATGAGGTCAAGTTGACAACCAAGAATAGGCATCACACCCATGCTTTAACTGGATTTTGATACAAAATCGTATTCACTGTCATCAGCCAGCTATGCTGAAAGTCCTATAACTTTCTCATATGAGTGGAAGTTGTGGCACAGGAGAACCATGGGCTGTTTTCATCAGTTCAGGTAAAACGTAGCCCAACAGTGCCCCAATAAAGACAGTTAAGTTTCAAATGTGTATAAAATAGTAAAATATGGTATTAATCCCTCAAAAGCTGTGTTTAGCCTTATAAGCAAGGCATTTTATCCAAGTCTTGAAGGAGTCTTCTGGTATTCAAAAATAATCATGTCATACTCTCTGACTCAGACAAGCTTGTGTCATACTGCCTCATTGCTGAGTCTACCTAGAATGTTTCATCAGTGGTTGTCTTCTGTGATTGTTATGGTTGGAAATAGGAACTGCATTCAGCTTCCCTGCTAGGCTGCAGTTGTATAGTAGTGACCTGGATTATAGTGATAGATGTTTATGATCAGCATAATGACCCCAATATGTGAAGTTATTGTATTGGTTAGGGCTTCTTTTGCTGTGGTAAAACACCATGACTGAAAGCAACTTGGGAAGGAAAGAGCATATTTGGTTTACACATCCTGAATCACAGGCCATTGAGGGAAACCAAGGCAGAAACTCAAACCAGGCAGGAGCCTTGAGGCAGGAGCTGATGCAGAAGCCATGGAGGAGTGCTGCTTACTGGCTTGCTCCCCATGACTTACTCGGCCTGCTTCCTTATAGAACCCAGGACCAGCCCAGGGGTGGCACCACTTACAATGGGCTGTGCCCTCCCAAATAAGTCACTAATTTTAAAAATGCCCTCCCTACAGGCTTGCCTACAGCTCAATCTCATGGAAGCATTTTCTCAATTAAGGTTCCCCCCTCTCATATGACTCTAGCTTGTGTCAAGTTAACATACAACTAGCCAGCACAGTTACTATTTTGTTTGTTTATGACAGGGCCTCAAGCTTTCAATCCTCCTTCCTCAGCCTCCTGAGTGCTGGAATTACAGGTATGGGCCATCACACCCTCTTAATGTTATTTTTAGACTACTCCAGGTAGTCTCAGGTATTGAACTACAGAGGACTAGAATGACATTTTAATTATACTTATAAAAATTCTAAGTGGTTGTATCTGGAAGTTGTGGGAAAATATATACTAGAGAATTATTAAATTATTTTGCTGTTTTGCATTTTAAAATTTTTGTGACATCATCTGCAT